CAACTGCCATGATGGCTTGATAAGGTCTGAAATAGTGCATGAATAATAAATAGGCTCACATCTGGTAAAATTCAGTGTTTGAGGGTTTTTTTTTAATGTCCTTTTATCATGTTCCTGTTGCTTGACTTTATCTGAAGGGATTATGTTTAGAGGATGTACATAGACAAATAGATATGCTAATAAAAAATGCAATAGTTGATAAGGTATGGGCAACATGGAGCATTCAGTGCAAGCTAAAACCAGCTCCAGACTAAAAATGGTTACTAACGTAACTGAAATTTGTACTTTGGTCATTAAAAAACACAGATAACAAACGAGTAAATTATCCTTCTGACTGGTTTACTTTCAGGAGGCTAGATTATATTTGTCAGTGTAGATCAAGAGAATGGTGAAAGAAGGGAAATAAAAGGAGATATGCTTTGTATTCTAGTAACTAGAATGAGGGGTTGAGAGGGAAATGCAGGTTTCAATCTGATAAGTAAGTGCATGAAACATGCTGGGCTTATGGCAGTGTTGTTGCAGGCCAGGAGAGCTCGGGAAGGCCGTGTATTTCTGAGCCCTGTGAGACTGGCAGTTCTCGCTCTTTATCCAGTTCTCATCTCCTCTGCTCGTGGAGAGAGTGCCCATGTTCAGAGAGTACCCATGTTCACCATCCAACACCATCGCCTATTACAGAGTCTGAAGACTTTAAATGCCCAAGAGTGCTTTCCAAAGCTCACAATGAATGATTTCATCATCAGTGACCTGACTTCTAGAGCTACCTGGTAGTACAAAATCTCATTAAAGATAAAAGACTAAAATAAATGTAAGCTTTCTGAACAATGTTCCAATTAAAATTGACTTTTCTGGGGGGAAGCAGAACAAACCAGACCAACAAAAACCGGTTGTCTGGAAAGTTAATAACCTAATTTCTCAAATGCAGAATCCTGAAACACCTTGTTTTACCAACTTCCAGCAAGAAGCAGCATTAGCGAATGCTGTGACAGAGGCCTGGGTTCTAGAAAGATCAGGGAAAAAGAAGAAACTGCAGTAGAAACATTTGGCTTGTCACAATTGTTATATGGCACCATAGCTGCAACATCGTAATGTGCAATAAAACTGACATGATGAGTTTTCTTTGAAAAGCACTTTGGTTCTGGAATAAAATCACATGCATCAAAAATATGGCATAGCTTTCTGTATTGCATAATGTATTGCATAAGAGAAAATAGAGAATAGCTGTTTCACATTAATGCTTTGTCACATGGGCAGGTGAGGCATGCCAACGGTGAATGAAATTTCACCATGGAAAGCAAATGAGAAAAAAGAGTTTCTGATTCAGTCAACTTCAAAATCATACTTCATTCACAGTAATGTTTTAAACTGTTACAGTTCCAAGCATGATGACTATAACTGAAAGAGGTTTGACAGAAGGAGGATATTTTTACTGTGTCAAGTGTCAGCCCCATGGATTTAATCAGAAGATCATTTAAGTCTCATTGCCTGTAATTTTCCAAGTGCAGTCAGAATCCTTATTTTGATGGATTTTTTTCTTACAGCAACATGAGAAAAAGACATTTCTTTAAATGGCTGTGGATTTAAACTGGCATTTAAACTATTTTAATTACTTGTGTCTAAACTTAGAACATGTATAGAATTTAATGCTTTTTAAATCTTGCTGAAATTCTGAGATTTTCCATCGAGACAAAGCACATTTAATGGACTTTAAAAAAAAAAAAGGAAGAAATGAAATTGAAGAGCAAGCAATCCCACACTCTTTATTACATTCGCCTTTTTTTAGATTGACAAAATGAAAACAACACCCACATAAAATGTAACTGCCAAGATTATTTTATTTTATTTTATTTTATTTTATTTTATTTTATTTTATTTT